GTGATTCAGATTACTCATTATTATGGGCGTAATGCATTTGTTTACATTATAAGATACAGATGTATCTTCATTGATTATCAATCAATATGCAAAAAATGTTCATTATTATTTTAACAAATTATTATGTGGATTAACATGTCTGTTTATTGTTTAGAATTAGCTAGTTAGATGATAAACAAAGTAAAGCCAAAACAACAATTAACTCAAAGTAATGTGAATTCACAATATAGCACAGTTTCTTAGTTGCTTACAACCAAATTTACTAAAGGGAAACAGTGAGGCATGCTTTAATATGAAGTAATCAACTTTGACGACGGAAGGAATTAGAGTAACAAATATATATCTGAAATTCCACAACAAGGTAGTGAGTAAGTGAGTGTCTAGATGAAGTTCGGAAACTGCTTAAATAAATCATTTGATAAAAATAATTTTGAAAAGTTTACATACGTTTTACGGTACTTGGTAAATAATATATACTATACCAAGTCTTTATCGTCATTCACGCTATCACTACTAATATTACTTGATGACCGATCTTGATGATCGCATCTCGCCACCCAGATATAGGAACTTGAACTGATGCGCACGTATTCCAGATTTTGCGTTGATTATAGCTTATTAAGTGACTGACTGACTGAATGTAACAGCATCAATATAGAAATGATGGTCAGTAAATTAATGATCTAATCAAATCCATTAGAACCAATTTTGCTCTAATGACATGCTCATATTCTTACATAGAATACAGTTATACACTTGAAAGATAAAAAGTGCATAACATGTCAACCGAAAAATAAATTTTATCATTAGCTTTGAAATAAATGCGAATTATTATAAAAATAAGACAGAATTTTATGTCACCTAAGTAATCTAGGGTAATTTTTGTTAAAACACAGCTATCAATTTTTAGACTGCACATTTTATTTGTTTTGTTAATTAAACAAACTTATAGTTGATCAATTTATTCATATTAAAATTTTAAATTTGCAAACAATGATTAATGTTCAATTTCATATATCACATAAATGTTAAACAGTATTCATGAGAACATTTTTTTCACATTTTAATACCGACTACCACCTATCTAACAAATTTTTTTTTTTTATAAACTCAACGATAAAAATTAATAAATAAAATTTAAAATTTAAAAATATGTGATTTTTTTTGAGTGCATATGTTTATCCATTAATGCATATATCATCGTATTCTTCTTGACGGTGCTGACCAATTGACATGTAAACAAACGTAGGTGCATTCATAGAAAAATTCCTAAAGATTAATAATAATATTTTAATAGTATGGCATTGCGTTTGGAATGTTTAAAATCACTTTTGACTTTAGTTCATAATATTGTATATATGATTCAGTAAACATGAAATCGACTAATTTAGTAGGTGAGCGATTGTTTGTTTAAAATCAGACATGGTTAGGTAGTAATGTTTTATCATCAATCAGTTTAGAATTAATTTTCACATTTGATTAATGTGAAAAGCAAACTGTACATGATTATCTTCATTTTACTCTATTTTCAAAGTCCAAGTAGCAGGATATAGATTGAGAATATCATAACGTTAGAAATAATAAGGTATAGACTAGAAAAAAGTAAATCTAAAATTATGTCGATTAAGGCTACCTTCATAATCAGCTTATAATTATCATAGTGAATCACTTATGGGATTCATTTTGATACTTTCTATCTCACCTGTATACTCCTAAACATCACAAATTCCAAACAGCCTGGTGGACATATATAACAGTTAGGACAAATCAGAGAGGCATTAACAACAGAGAGTAGTCAAAATCCCAAGGGTAAAATAAACGATTTATTTGATTTAATAACATAAGATATCACACCTCTATATATTAAACACTTAAGACTAAACAACAAATATGAACGACGAATTATGCAACAAATAACAAATACTGATTTCCATATACTTAGTCTGAGTTTATCTTCCCAATGATATGCTATTCGCTTATTTGTTTTAAATGTCTATTATTCTAAACATACTTTCATTACTTGACTGGAGAAATATTCGACTGTCAATAAATCGGAATAGTTGTATTGATCTTGATGAATCTCTATCGATTTACTCATCTTTTCAATAAATAGCTGTTAATATTTACGAGAAAGCTCCACTTGTTTATTGGTCGATAGGAAAGTCGGTAGCTAGGTAATCAATCACGGATTCTGGATTAGTCTCCTTACAGATCACAGAAGTTAAATAGTGAATTCAGTCTGATTTTGTTAATTATTTTCCGCTCATTTAGTATTGCTTGTAATTATAGTGATTGTTTTGTCCTTACTAAGGGGAAATTTATTATCATTCAGATAAAAAAAATATATGGTACTGTTTATGTTGTACAAAACTAATTCGCAATAAGCTTTGGTCAAGGTGTATGTAGTCAAATGGAGAGAACCATTTGCATTCAATTGATATGTTCCATCATCTTCAGATTACGAATCCAAGAGGTAATGGAATATTGATACGTTGCTACCTTTTAATTCACTCTAACCTTGTCATACTAAAGTTTTATACAACATAGTGCCAGTTTATAATCAAACTGCACGTTTAAGATCTTATGTTTCGTGTTTAACCGATCAGTGGTCAGTTAGAAAGAAAAACCATATTATATTTTTAATGATCGAATCTATCCAACTATTCTCTAATAGAAAGATATCAGGATATCAGTTGATCCACTAACCATAGTTTCAAAAGCATTTGAAACAACATCTTAATTGATATCACAAAATATTTTCTTGGCAAAAAGTTTGCATTCAAATTAAAATAATTGGAAATAGTGAATTTTTTCTTTCAGTAAAAAACGATCTATAAGACATCCTTCTTTTCTTTTTTTTTCTTCGATTGAGAATATGAAAAAACGTAAATCGGAATGCATTTACTTGCTTGTTTATTTTAATTTGAACATTTTGAAATTGTTTAAATCAATTAGAAATTTCTTCCCATTCTTGCAAAAATTAATCGCACCTAAAGTTTGTAGCAACGATATTGGCAATAATAAATTGTAGGTGATTTTTATCACAGAAAAACTTCAACTATGATATTAATGTGAACTAGAATTAACTACTGATTAACTGTTTGAAACTTTTAAATAAAACAAACCTATAAGGCTAAGCATCATCATACATATGACTTTTAAATTAATCTGTAAGCAGTTTATCAAAAGTTAGTAAATCGGAACCTAACAGGTTATATTATGAGTGAGACAACAGTTGTCCACTGATTTTTGTTAGACGTGGATTATTTTATTAAATCTTGGTTGACTGATATATTTAAAATGCTATGAGTTATCTACACTTAAAGTGACTAAGTGTTTACTTCGTTTCAACAATCCTAACGTTGATGTCGAGTCAAGATGAAATCTATGCTTTATACAAAATGTCGGTGAACCGATGAATATATAAAACTTTAAATGCTTTTTTCCCAAAGATTTAGTATAAATACTTTTAATGAGCATTTATTAAATAAATGCTTTATGATACTTTTATATTGTCCTAATTCTAAGTTGCGCAATAGTTGTTGATGTATCTTTCACCTTTGATAAGACGAAATCACTTATGGTATGTATTGCCTTGCACCTCATACATATCATTGTTTGAGTTTGTGTTTCGCAGGAATATACGAAAACTTGGAAAAATACTAGGTGGTTATCTGGTTTTCCTGAAATTCTGACTGGCATTTTCGAACTTGATGAGAATTCTACATGATCCATAGTTTCGTTTATCATATACATTAAATATGCTAACAGACTGATTGTTGATTGGCAAGGAAAAATCTCATAACAAAAAGCACCTAAATTAATATAATAATGTCTTGTTTTAGACTAACTAATTATACGATGATAAAAATCTTTCATAACTGTTAACTCTCCAATATCAATTCCGATTTCATTACAATTATGTTGCTTGGTATTTTTTGTTGACTATCTATAATTTGGCTTAGACATGCAATATTTAAAAATAATTCCTATGATAACAACTTAGTTACTTCATATTTTGTTCAAATGGTCTGATTTAGTTGATCAGTGATGTCTGTTTTTCGTTAATTATTCGATACACATAGGGAGAGGGAGTGTAAGGGGGATGAATGCATCAATATATATTTCAAATTTTGTAGCTGTTGTATCTATCTATCTATCATTATCACGGAAAAAAGGGCTGAGTGGAGATTATGAGCATTGTGAAATATACATCAAGAAATTTACTAATGAAGTGATGATTTTTTAAATATTTCGAAAACAGTGTTTGAGTTCATTCTTTCGAAAATTAATGACTTGTGATACTGATTGTTGTGTAGTTAATTATAAGCAGTTGATAGCAAGAAATCTAGGGATATTGTTCATTTATTTATTGAATTAACAGCATTCACCTAGGGGATATACATGTAAATATTGATACTTTCTAGAGCTTAAATAAAATTTAAATCGATATGCACTATAGACAGATGTTGTTAATGGCCAGGAGGGAAACTCAGAACGCTCATTTCATCCTATTTGGGACTTGGCAGATAGACGTGCCTGCATCTCAGAGCTGATGCTTACTCCAAGACTCGAATCCAATAACATTCACTTCAAGCACCATAACGTTATCCCCTTACAAAATGAGTCCAAATATTCACTCGCTTGTGCTATGGGATGAAGCTTAACTCGTCTGTCTTGATAGTTTGAATCCTCTCATTGAAGTGTAAAAAGTTTCATTTGATCAGTCTCTTAGACATATATGCATCCTGTGAGGATTGCCTAGGTATTATTGCCTTTAGGTTACAAACATTATGACGGATCATCTACATCAATGGAAAGATTCAAACAAACAATACAAATGAATGTGCAGCAAACTCCTTATTAATGGTAATATTAACTTCTGATTTAATGGAATTTACCAATTTAACAAATAGGAGCTTAGAGCAAAATAAAACTTAGCAATATAGTTTGATTTTATTGAATAATAAATATTCTTTATTTTTTTATTTTCCACTCAGGTATGAACTAAAAGATAATACAAAATGTTCAAATATTGGCGGAAAATGTGTTCAACGAATGGATGATTTATTCATTGAACTAGATCAAGATGCACGTGTGCCACAAACATTAGCACGTATCGATACGAAAGGTTTACCTACAGGTGTTGTACGCATAGATTTAAGCAAACATTATGCATATCAAGCATATAATGGAAAACAAATTCCTGTTTCAACAGCATTTCGTGTAAGTTGTTGAATAATTGTTTTTCTGTTCTACCAAGTATATTTTCTCTAATTAGCTATATACACTTGAATCAATTCATGTGTATGATACGAAACACATCATTTCAAACGTTTGTAGTACTTTAACTTTCTAATCTACCAATGTAACTGTTCAGAAAAATTTGAAGATGATTTGTGCTAACTGTAAGTATTCTTATTTAACAAGATATCTTAGGTATACACTTATTTTCCTACATTGCGCATCAGTTTTTCCGTTTATTTTAAATTCTGAAAAATGAAACGAATCTGAGTTCTATTAAATAAACTACAAACTAAAATATGTAACAAACATTCACATTCGAATTGTTTAACTTGTATCGTGTCTCAATGTTTTATCATTGGTCTTCATTTTTTCTGTATGACTTCTACACTAAGTCTTAAAATAATAATGACCAGTGAAATCTAAATGAATGGTATTATTCAAGTATTAAAAACGGATTTAACAATGCAAAATCATGTTAAATTATTTTGCGGAAATTTAAAACTATTTGTTTTTCATTTAATATTCGATAAGTTATATTTACGTGTATTAAAAATATGCTTCATACTAATGACTGATTGTAATTATCATAGGAATAGACTATATATATATATATATATATATATATATATATATATATATATATATATATATATATATATATAGGAATAAACTATATGGTATAGTGTGAATAATATACTTTCTATTCGAATTCACAACTGGTGCTTACTGCCTTTTCATCTTATTTTTTACTTCAAACTGTGATGACATTTAATTTAAAATGACTCTTATATCTGTTCAGTTCTGACACACTAGGTAGATCGCATTGTAGCTGCCACTTAGTCGCATGTTTTTAATAAAAGTAAACGATGACGTTCAGATCGAAAAGTACTGGGTTATGAGTCGCAGCACTAAGACTAAAGCCAGGATGAAGTATGGTCATCTAATAAGCCTGAAATAAGAGGTCTTGGATTCTATAGCTAGCCAATTATCCTAAAAGCAAGATAATAGTAATCAAAATCTCTGAATTATTCACTAGTTATTGTGGGAAGATAAATCACTGTGTGACTGAAATTTATCTAGTAGGAGACTTATTTCTAATATCCTAAAACAATCATATATATATATATATATATAAAACTCCATTTTTCCTATTATAAATATTTTATTTAGAAAATTATTATGTATACTTCAGTTCAATTAATTATTCACATGAATAGTTTCGGTGTGAGAAATTTGATGAAATATTGGTAATATTTTATGTGACTTGTAACCTATCTAAATCCGTAGCGAAAACTAAAATTTTATCGTTAGTTGTGTATTGTACTTTATCACATACTACAGTGTATAGATTATTTGTATAAACTATTTTCAAATACCTGGTATTTTTCACTGTTTTCAATTTTCTATGTAATTTTCAAGTTCATTGAAATTATTTAAATTTTCAACGGTATTATGACTTTTATATCAAACAGCCGAATAAACAAATTAATTTCTGTCAAAAATTATATTATCTTAGGTATAAAAAAATATCAGTTAATACTATTTTTTATGATGTACTGTTAAAAGTTTAGGATAGACACATAAAAATGTTTTTTTTTAAAAATAGAATTGAGACAGATTGAAATGAATTTACAATAAATTAAAGTCATAATGGAGATTGATAAAGTCCAAACAAACACCTGTATACTTTGAATTATTTTTTCAGTTTGTTTTAATTCCTGATTATTATTCATTTAGTACTGCCTTAAAGTATGTTGTCTACTCATTAGAATTGACTGCATATCATTGATTACATTTGTAATTTGAACTATTCTGTAAACAATCATGTTCTTGTAATCATCCCAATTCACTTTGATTATTTCTTAAATATAATAATAGAATATTCTCTTAGAATACAAAGAACTGCATGTAAGCACATGCAAAAATCAACATTTCCATTTGTTCAATATGAAAACAAACAATTCACCAGAAAAAGTAATTTGTAAAAAGATTCTGAACAAGGGAAAAAAACTTCAGAATTTCATATATAACTATATATATTTATATCATTCTTCATGTGCTTTCAGACATTTTCCAATCATACATTGAATTGTTATTGCGAAAAAGCATTTCAGAATTAATAGTTATTCAATCAGCGTACTTGAGCTAACAACATTCACATATGGTTTAGTTGCATAGAAGTTTGAGCTATTGTGTTTATTTCTTAATTATAAAGCCTTATTTTTTAATATTATATGGAATATATGTCCTACTATACAACACAAAAATGAATAATTGTATATGTAAATAATAAAAATCATTTTTGACTTCTGTTTCAATTCGATTGTGACATGAAATATTTTTTTTTGAAACTTTTGTCCGGATGTAAACCTACTTTAAATACATAAATACTTTTTAAGATTAAGATTTACTGATGCAAAAATAAATCAGAAATTTGTTGGTTTAACAAATCTAATTTTTACTTCTGATATCCTTATTTATGACATTCATTACGGATCCTTGATTCTGGGTCATGTGATGGTCAGGGAGAGCACCTATGTGAAATTTTCAGGTATGATGAAATATCTCTTAGGTGTTTTCTTGTTTTTATTGTGCCTTCAACTGACGCCAGTTTGTAGTAAAATCGATTTTCCAACAGTTTACTGTCGTTTAAACATTGTTGATCATATGCTCAATTTGTTTGGTATACTAAATGACCATCTAAGTCATTAGATCAAGTGTAAATTCTTTCAAAATTGTTAGAAATGCATACTGTTTAAAAATTTCACCTTGATAATTAATGTTCCAAAATATATATAGTAGACTCCAAATTATTTTCAACATATTTTAATAAACAAACAGTAAATTTAATTTGAATTTATTTGTATTTTTCTGAAATATTTCTTATTTTTGAGGATAATTACTATTTGTTACCATTCTTGAATCAGATTAAGTATATTTAGACACTAATGAGTATTACAGTAAAAATCATGAGTTCCATTTTAGAAGTATGTTGCCCGTTCAGTCAGTTAACATGAATAACTTCATCTGTTTAACGACATTCCACACTGTCTACTTATACTGCATGTGATTATATTAGCCTTAAAGTCCATGATATCATTAGCGACTGGTGTAAGATCGTTGTTTCGTATTTGGATGGTTTTCGTTATGAATTGATATCAGCCAAAAAACTCCTGATATTTAGTGAAAAGTGAATTAAATATTTCCTCCAAGTTTAGGATTCATGATACGCTGATGACTCACCTAAAAGGTTGATATTAGTAGTGTTGATGTTAGTAGTTAGTGTGTAATTCTCAAATCATTTAGTCAGAATCAATCGGTCAGTGTTCAAAAGTTTAATCAACTATCGATAATAAAGTAAGCATTATCAAATACCAGTAGTGAGTAACTGTTTCATTCTGGACATAATTAAACTCTCCCATCAGAACTCTTTTATTCATCAATTTGATCATTCATTATGTATAACATATAATCTATTAAAATGTTTATGGTAATGAGAATTATTCCATAAAAGAATAAGTCAATAATTCTGGGATTTAGTAAACAAATGTTCAGATAACACAATAATATTGTTTACATGTTACAAATAAACATATACAACATTAAGAACGCATTTGTATTCACTTGATTGTGTTGTGTTGTAATGTTTTTTTAAATAGATATTCATTTTATTGTGTGAGAGAATTAGGTAGTCTATTATTTATATTCTTTTCTGTTCTTTATTCATGATACCTTGGTTGTTCAATTATTAAATATTGTGAATAAAAATGTATTGAGTATTTTACGTGGCGTTTTAATGAGTAATGACCTATATTATCTCTGTAAATTTAAAATTATTAAAAACTGAATCAGAAAAACAAATAGATTTTAATAATATAAGTCTATCATTTATCAAATAAAATCATATATTAGTTGGAAGATAACTAACAGTGATTTCTTAGAAGAGCAACCCGTGTAAGCATTTAATTGACTAGAATAACTGAGTTGATGATGTTTGATTTTACGATTTAATCTAAAATAATTCGAAATAGCAGATAACAGTTGGATTAAGAATGAAGATTTAATTTTTTTAAGGGATTAAAACTCGAACATTTGAAGCAATGAATATTAGGCTGAAGTTTCACTATAAGCAGCACTATTCAATAATTACATGAATTCACTACACGAATTCTGAGTAAAAATACGAGTGGTTGGGTGCAATGCCGAATTTCTAAATGAACTTAGGTGAGGTTAAAAATTACTTTTCAATAGTGTAAATGTTGTTACCACCTATATTCCACGACATTCATATTTATCCAAATGTTAGACGATCACCTTAATTATTTGTTGAACAAAATACTAATGCGAAAACACAGTCAAAATGACAAAAAAGAAAAGCCGAATACGATCATTAGAAAGTTTATATTTTTCAGTTAACTCCAAATTTACAAACTTTTCATCACAAATAAAATTCTATTTTATTATTGATTATGTCTATGTGTTCCGATGTTATCAACAAATAAATAATCCTAGTCATTGGAAATTTTGCTTAAATCCTACCCAAATTCTGTTAAATCCTTATGAGTTTCAATAAAATACATCCCATTTTGTTAGTAAAACACAAAGAGTGTAACAGTTTTTTTTATATACTTCAACACTATCTACTTCGTTCAGCTTTTGATATTAGCTGTAAAATCATGGCAAACAAAAGAGTACAAAGTGTCAATTTAGGATATCAAAGCTATACGCACTGACAACTCCGCATTTCAATGGACCTTGGATGTTTGAATCAATCTTGCAATAAGATATTCTTAGGTCACTGAAAAAAATTCAGTGATCTATGACTCTACGTTTATCACATTTTTGATATTCACCGACAATTATTCATTGATTATGTTGATGACGTTGATTTTCGATACAACTGACTGTACATGTTACGTTTTCACCTTAATACTTCGATTATCAATTTTCAAGCTGATTACTAGCGAATGAATGATACT